TCAATCTTCATTATTTCATGCAAGTCTTTCCATGTTTTTCTAAGATCACTGAGCTTATCATTTCTTATAGCACAGCAGTATTCTCATAATCATACACCACAACTTGTTCAGCCATTCCTCGGCTGAAGGACATCCCTACAATTTCCAGTTCTCTGCCACCACAAAGAGAGTTGCTAGAAACATTTTAGTTTGGATATAGATCTACTAGTTGTATTGCTGGGTCAAAGGGTATAGGCAGTTTAATAACTCTTTGGCCATAATTCCAGATTGCTCTCCAAAATGGTTGGATCAGTTCACAATTCTACCAACAATGAACTAGTGTCCCAATTTTTCCACATCCCCTCCAACATTTGTCACTTTCCCCTTGAATCATTTTAGCCAATCTGGTAGGTGTAAAATGATATCTCAAGGTTGTTTTAATTTGCATTTGTCTAATCAATAATGATTTAGAGCATTTAAAAAAACATATTTCCACATTAGTCATGTTGTAAAAGAAGAAACAGAACAAAAGAAAAAAATCACAGGAAGAAAACAACAAGAAAAATGAAAATACTATGCTTTGATCTGCATTCAGATTCCATCAGTTCTTTCTCTGGATGTGGATGGCATTTTCTGAGTCTTGGAATTATCTTGGATCACTGAATTACTGAGAAGCACTAAGTCAATCATTGATGATCATCGCAGTGTTATTGTTACTGCATATAATGTTCTCCTGGTGATTTAGAGTATTTTTTCATATGACTATAAATTGGTTTGATTTCTTCATTGGAAAACTGCCTGTTCACATCCTTTGGCCATTTATCAATTGGGGAATGACTCATATTATTATATATTTGAACAAAGTTCTTTACATATTTGAAATATGAGACCTTTACTTGAGAAACTATCTATAAAAAATTTCCCCTCAATTTTCTGCTTTCCTTCTGATCTTGGTGATATTTGTTCTATTTGTACAAAACATTTTTAATTTAATGTAATTGAAATTATCCATTTTATACCTAACTTTGCCCTCTATCTCCTTATTCACAAATTGTTTGCCTTTCCTTAAGTCTGATCAGTAATATGTTCCATGTTCTTCCTATTTTCTTGTAATATCTCTCTCTTTCTATCCAGGTTGTGTATCCATTTTGACCTTATCTTGGTAAATGGTGTAAGATGTTGGTATATGCCCAATTTCTGCCATACTGCTTTTCTTCAAAGGAGTTCATTTCTGACCTGCTCAATTTATTTTTCTAAGGTAGGGTTAATTACTTATTCTATTTCATATTCTGTTCATTTGGGCAATTTATATTTTTGTAAAAATTCATCTATTTTGCTTAGGTGTCAGTTTTATTGGCATGTAATTTGATAAAATGGCTCCTGAAAATTGTTTTGATTTCTTCTTTGTTGGTGGGAATTTGCCTTTTCCATTTTTGACACTGGTAATTTTGTGGGTTTTTTAAATTCTTATTTAATTTTTGTTGCTGTTCAGTCACTTCAATCATGTCCAATGCTTCATGACCCTATTTGGGCTTTTCTTGGTAAAGATACTGGAGTGCTTTGCCATCTTATAGTTGTGGAAACTGAGGCAAACAGAGTTAAGTGACTTGCCCAGGGTCACAGAGCTAGTAAGTGTCTGAGGTCAGATTTGAATTGGGTTTTCCTGATTCTAGGCCTGGAGTTCTAGTCACTGCACTACCTAGCTGCCCCAGTCAAATTAACTAACACCTTGTCTATTTTATTGTTTTTAATATAGAAACAGTTCCTAGTTTTATTATTAATTGAATTTTCATTATTTTTATTAATACTTATTAAATTCAGTTTTGTTAATCTGTCCTTTGATTTTCAGGATTTCTATTTCAATGTTTCATTGAGGGTTTTAAATTTGTTCGTTTTCTGAGGTTTTTTTTAAAGCTACATCCCCAGTTTGACGATCAGCTTGCTCCCTCTCTTTTACTGATAAAACAGTTTAGAAATTACAAAATTTCCCTTAAGTACTGCTTTGTCTGCATCTCACAAATTTTGGTATGTTGTCTCATTACTGTTATTATTTTTAACAAAATTATTGATTTCTTCCATGACTTGTTCTTTGACAGACCCATTCCTCAGGATTATGTTAATTAGTTTCCAATTAATTTTTAATCAATTCTTTAAAGGCTCCTTATTTTAACTCTAACTTTCTATTTTAAGTGTGTTTCTTGTATTCTAATTTCTTATCCTTTCTACTATTCTCTTCTATTTTACTGGTGTATTTATCCCATTCACATTCATAGTTATGACTGCTAAGTGTATATTTCCCTCTATCCTATTCTCTTATATTTAGCCTTCTCTTTTTGCCCTGCCCCCTCTTTAAGAATGTTTGCTTCTGACTAATGATTCCTTTAGCCTACTTTTCCTCATTTCCTCCTTTTCCCTTAACACTTTTCCTTCCTAATTGCCTGATGAGTAAGATGTATTACCCATCTGTGTGTGTAAGTGTGTTCTTCCCTCATTTAACCAGTTCAAATGAGAAAGAGGTTCAAGTGTCATCTGTTCCCCCTGCCACTATCCCTTCCTTGTATAAACTCCTTTTTGGCACACCCCATTTATATGAAAGAATTTTCCCTACTCTTCTTCTTCTTTCCCAAATTTCCCAAAGTATTCACCTTCCCCACCCATTCTATTCTCCTTTTGAGATCATCTAATTGCAACAGAATCAAATCTGGGCCCTCTGTCTAATTATACTACCAGATGAGGATTTACATGTATTACATCCCCATATTAGGATGGAAACAGTTTAACTTTGTTTAGTCCTTTATGATTTCTCATTCATGTTTACCTTTTTATCTTTCTTTTGAGTACTATATTTGTATGTCAAACTTTCTACTCAGCTATGGTCTTTTTCATCATGAATGCCTGGAAGTACTCTCTCTTAATAAAGATATATATTTTTTTTCTCCTGTAGCATTATATTTAATTTTGGTGGGTTGATTGTTCTTTGTCATAAGGCTAAGATCCTTTGCCTTCTGTAATATCATATTCCAAGTTCTCTGCTCTTTCAAAATGGTAGCTGCTCATAAGTCTCATGTGATCCTGACTGTGGCTTCTAGGTCCTTGAATTTTTTCTTTCTGACTGCCTGTGGTATTTTTTTCCTTGACTTTGAACCTCTGCATTTTGGCTATAATATTTCCAGAAATTTTCATTTTGGGGTTTCTTTCAGGAGGTAACCAATGGATTTTTTTTTCAATTTCTACTTTGTCCTCTTTCTCTAACATATCTGAACAGTTTTCTTTTATGATTTCTCAAAATATGATGTCTAGGCTCTTTTTCGTTCATGGCTTTAAGGTAGTCAGTAATTCTTACATTATCTATCTTTGATCTGTTTTCTGGATCTGTTGCTTTTTCTGAGATATTTCATATCTTCTTTAAATTTTTTAGGCTTTTGATTCATTAGTTTCCATTTGGCCAATTCTAATTTTCAAGGAGTTATTTTCTTCTAGAAGGTTTTGTATCTTTTTTTTCCCTCCAAGCTGTTAATTCTCTTTTCATATCTTTCTCTCCTAACTCATCTCTTTTCCCATTCTTTCTTCTACTGTTCTCTTTTGGCTTTTAAAATCATTTTAGCTCCTTCTTTAACTCTTGAATTAACTATTCTAGGATTTTTGTTGAACTTGTGTCTAAGCTACATTTATTTTTAAGGCTTTACTTGTAGATGTTTTTGAATTATTCTCTACTTCTGTGTTTGTGTCCTGAGACTCTCTATTACCTAGCTCTTCATAGTTGGGTTCCTTTTTGTTGCTCTTATTAACTTTGGACTATGTGTTAGTGCGAGCTTTGTGCACTTCGGGTGGGGGGGATGGGGAGAGTATTTGAACCGAGTATCTGTCTTCTTATATCCTTCCATGACTTTCACAGCTCTGGCTGAGGATCTTCAAGCTTTCATTTCACCCAAACTGATATGATCTGGGGCAGGGGACTATTCACTGCCCTCCTGGTCTGTGTGCTGCAAGTTCCTGACCTAAGTTTGGGTCTATTGGTTTGTTTCTGGTTGGAAATTTGGACTTAGTCACTATTTGCCCACTGGGAAGTTTTCCAAGTTCCAAGCAACTTCCCTACTGGCTCCTCTTTGATCTGGGGTTCTGCACTCTGCTCCTGGCAGCAGAGACAACCTACACAGCTAACATGTACTTTCAGAAACTTGTTTGGTGTTCAGTACACATTTAGAGCTAATGCTTATAATTGTTCTTCTCTGCCCTGAATCTGTGACCCAGGTGGGTGAGAGAGCTGCCAGATGGCACTTGTTCTTGTACCTAGCACTTGCTCAGGGGTCCCTTGGGGTCTCCTTCTGGTACCCTATCTCAACCCTCACTCAGTTCCTGGGTGCTGCAGTGATCCACACCACTGTGGCCATAGCTATGCAAGCTCTCGGCCAGAAAACCTCCCCAGTGTCTACAGACCTCTCTGTTTGTCTCTCTAATCCTTCCTGATTCGGAAAAACTACTTATTATGACTTCTTTGGCTTTCCCAATCAGAACTTAGTCTGATGCACTCTCCAGATCTTTGTCAAGGAGGTAAGGGGGAAAAGTTAGACTCTAATGCTTCTTCTCACTCTGTCATCTTGATTCTGCCCCTTCACATTTATTTCTAAGTCACCTTCCTCCAGCGTCAGAAACTTAAGGAGCATTTGGCCCTACTCCACAATGCTATGAAAAAATATCTGCATTAACCAGATTGAATTCTACTGGTACAGACCACACCAAACTAATAAGCAGAGAGCTAGGTAATGAAAATTGCTTAATTCATCTTATTTTGTTTTCATCCTACTCTAACTTTTCCCCCCTAGACTATTACTAAGTCTGTCTCAATTATACCTTGATTTCATTTCCCTATTACAGGCAGGATCAATTACTGTTCTCATTTAAATGACTAAATACAAAATTAAATGAACATGTCCCAAGAGAAGATGACTTTAAATAATCAGTTTATCTTACTATTTCAACATTGATCATTTTGTTATATGAAGAAAAAAATATGATCTTACTTTTTCATACAGCAAGTGAGGTATATTTTGCTGTTGTCTGTTTTGAAAACATTCATAAAGTTGGAGTAGCCTAGAGCATAGTACTTGTTCTTGATTGAAGAGAGGATGATGGCTGAACTGTAACATTGAGACGTTGAGATCTAGTTGACACATTTCCCTCTGGCCTTCTATTTTGCTTCTGAAACAGCTTTCTATATCTGACTTTATTGCCTTTTGAAAGAAAAAATATTTACCATGCATTCAAAATCAAATGAATTTTCTAAAATTGATTTTCACTACTTTTATAAGGTAGAATTATTTAACAATTCTTATTAGCTCAGTTGGTTAGAGTAAGGTTCTAATAAACTCTCAAGAATTACTCTTCCCCTTTTTTCAATAATTGGTATCCTCTTAATCACTGCTAAATCTCTCACAATCCTATTGCCAAAGTGCCGATGTGGAGACACACACTGGAACCTGAAACACATTTTTCCAAAGAAACACTATAAGAAATTGGCCTGATTCTCTAATATTGATGCCAGTACTACTTAGTTCATCTTACATTTTGAGATGGTAGGGCTTTTGTGGAATTGCCTAGGATCCCAACTCTTATCTGTAGCAGAGAAATATTACTCCTTCTAAAATGAAAAGGTTATTCCTGTCAACTGTTACATTCCATATGAACTGGTTCAAGTCTTTATAAGGCAGCAAGGGATGATGTGCCTCTGGAGAAACTGTCCTATTGGCGAGTAACTGGAGATTCCTGCTTTTTTCCCTTTTCCTGCATCACCAGTAAGATAAGGAAAATAATCTGGTGAGTAACTTCTTGTATATTGTGATAATTTTTATGATCTTCAAGCCTATGTCTTTACTTCTCCACTAAAGTTCTACACCAATGCATGGTGTGGGAGGTGATTGTGGTTTCTTGACAGCTATGCCAAATGAGTGCAAGCTCTGGCAGAAAACAAAGCCAGTAAAGCTTCAAATATGGACTCACTGACAGACAGTATGCATGTTGACCAAGGATCAGACCAGTTAAAGTTAAAAGATGCTCTAGCATCAGTAGAAGGAATACTCCCACTGACAAAATTAAAGATCTTAGAAATATATGAGTATTTTGCCACCTACTTTTGCCCATATTACACCTACCCCAAATTGGTCCCCTATATTATTATTCTCACTGATAATTTTAAAAGAGTTCATAATTTACCCCAGAGAAATGTCAATAATGACTAGATCCTGGGAAAACTCTAGAATAACAAAAATGTTTCAGTTGATTACCTTCTTATAAATTGTTTTTAATCCTGGATTTAAGGTTTCAACAGTGATGAGCTTTCGGAAATTCCATGACTGCTTAATTGGAGAAGGTAATGAAATTATTTCACCACTTTCTTCAAACCAGCATTTTCCCTATTAAAAAAATTTCAGAAAAAATGAAAAAAGTTGTATTAAAATAACTTTACATAATTGCACTAAAAAGTTTTAACTTTATGCTTAAGCACTATATAAGTATCAACTGTTTTAACTATGTTAATTAATTGGTACACTTACCTCTTCCAATATAAGTAGGCGATTTTCCATTTTGTTACAAGTCCTTTTATAAGCTTCTGGTTTTTTTTTAATATAAAATCCTTCATCTTCTAAGATACGTGGTATCATGTTTTTTGGCAGCTTATCTCGGTTGATCACTTAAAACAATATATTATATATTACTATACATGATATGCTAAATATATTTCTGGCAGCCTAAAATAGTAAATCAGCACTGATAAAATGTAAGGGGTGGGGGATGAACCATCAGCTACCCTAATACTGAAGTCTAGCAAGAAGTCTTTTAATCCAAAACAACTCAGGAAATGTGGAGAATAAAGAAAGAAAACGTACACCTGTTCAGGATGTCTATGAAAAGTACAGAAGAATTCTAAATGGCACAGGGGAAGTCAACAACTTTCTAGCTCTTCCTGAATCAAGGATTTTGTTTGCATAGGGCTGCCAGCTCAAACATTTTGGTCAAAAATCTTAAGACAAGTAAAAATAAATGTTTATCCTTGCAGGATAAATAAAAAAAAAATTTAAGTAGGATCTTTATAGGTGATGAAAACACTTTATTGTGGTCTTACCTTCCTAGGCTCTGATCAATTTGTTTGGTCATGGTGCTCATTAAACATAAGCTCTTAGTACATAAATTACATTTTTATAGCCATTATAATAATTGTAGTACGGATTGGTGGAGTTGCACTGAATTTTCATTCTCATCATATTAAGGATAAATCATTGAAGAGCAGTGTGGCATAGAGAAACAAGAGCAGGTCTGAGTCAGGAAGACTTGGATTCAAATCCCACCTTTCAAATATACTCCTGAGACCCTAGACAAGCCCCTTCACCTCTCACTACCCTGGCAACTTGCTAAGACAACAAACTGGAGAGCAGGTATTAGCCTTCACTGAGAGAGAAAGTTTCCTTACAGAGAATTCCCTACACCAGATCTCATACTTTTTGGTCTAGGAGCCCTTTACATTTTTAAAAATTATTGAGGGCCCCTCCAAGAACTTTTATGTTTACTTGGGTGATATCTACTGATACTCATATCATATTATATCAGAAGTTAAAATATCTTTATATTATTATGAAAATAGTTTTGACTACATGACCCCCTGAAAAGGTTTTGTGGACCCCCAGGATGTCCCCAGACCATACTCTGAAAACTGCTGCCTTTTACCAAGGAAGCCACAGGTCTGGTCCAAAACGCAAACCAGACAAACAGTAAATCAGCTTCAGTCAGGAGCCAACAAGACAGCAAGCTTGGAGTATAGGTCTGAGAAAAAAGAAAATGAACAAGGCATTCTTAACAATAATGAAAAATATGTATATTCAGAAACTGAAATAAGACTGCCTGTCTTCATGACCACTGAATCATTAATTCCACTGCTATTATACTTTCAAGATATTTGGTTGTTTCTATATGTACAAAATAATAGTTTGGATTCAGTGACTAAGACATCAAACCCATCTATATCAATTATGTATACAAACACACATTTCAAAACCAAATATAGTCCAATATCCTTTGGGATTATTTATGCTGTTAATGGATCATGGGAGCCAATTATACGTTCATGTTAGCCATGCTTTTGGAGAACTGATATAACTTAGAGTCTGCCTTATTACTCAATAAACCCACTAGCTTTTATTCTGTTTCCTTCCTTCCTTTTGTAACTAAACTCCTGGAGGCCATCTACAGTAGGTGCCCCCACTTCTTCCTCTCTCATTCTCTAATTACTTCTCTTTTTCTTTCTTTCTCTCTCTTTTTTTAGGCAATTGGGGTTAAGTGACTTGCCCAGGGTCACACAGCTAGCAAGTGTCAAGTGTTTGGTCTGAGGTCAGATTTGAACTCAGGTCCTCCTGACTTCAGGGCCAGTGCTCTATCCACTGCGCCACCTAGCTGCCCCTCATTAATTCTCTATAACCTGGCTTCCAACCTCAAAATTCAAGTAAAACTGCTTTCTCCAAAGTTACTAATGACTCTTAATTGACAAATCTAATGGCTTTTTCTCAATCATCATCCTTCTTGATCTCTCTGCATCTGACACTGTTGATCACCTCTCTTCAACTTGATACTCTCTTCTCTCTAGGTTTTTGTGACACTGCTCTCTCCTGGCTCTCTTCCTACCTGTCTGACCACTCCTTCTATGTCGTCCTTACTGGATCTTCATCCATATCATGCTAACAGGGAGAGTCCCTCAAAGCTCAGTCCTGGGCCCTGTTCTCTTCTCCTTCTATACTATTCCATTTGCTTATCTCATCAGCTCCCACAATTTCAATGCACCATGTGCACATGACTCTCAGATCTACCTGTTCAGCTCTAACCTCCCTCTCAACCTTTAGGATTGCATCTCCAACTACCTTTTTGACATCTTGAACTGGATGTCCCATAGACATCCTAAACTCCACATGCCCAAAACTGAACTAGCATCTTTCCCTGGAAAACTCTCCTCTCTTCTTAACTTCTCTATGTTACTCAGACTTTTGAATTTGGTGTCATCCTCAACTTTTTGCTGTCTCACCCTGACCCCTACATCCAACTTGTTGCTAAATCCTGACAATTTTACCTTTGTAACATCTCTTGCATATGTCCCTTTTTTTTCTCTGACAATGAAACCACTATGGTACAGGCCTTCTTACACCCCTTCCCCGGACTACTGCAATAGCCTGCTTACTGGTCTGCTTAATCTCCTTCATTCAGCTGTCAAACTGATCTTCCTACAATACAAATCTGACTATATCACACATATCCCCACTCCCATTCAATAACCTGCAGTAGCTCCCTATTGCCTCCAGGATGAAATATAAAATTCTCTTTTTGAATTTTAAAGTACTTCATAATCTATCTCCTTCCTACCTTTCCTATCTTCTTACACCTTATTCACCTCTATGTACTCTGCAACCCAGTGACACCAGCCTCCTTGTTGTTCTTCCCACCAGACACTCCAACTCCCAACTGAACATTTTCACTAGCTATCCTTCATGCCTTGAATGTTCTTCCTCCTCATCTCTGTTACCTAGCTTCCTCTGTTATCTGGTTTCCTTCAAACTCTTACCTCCTGTAAGAATCCTTTCCCAGTCCTCCTTAATTTTAGTGCCTTCTAAGATTATTCCCATTTTATTTATATATATCCTGTTTGTGTATAGTCATTAGCATGTTATCTCCTCCAAGAAACTAAGCTTCTTAAGTACAGGGACTGGCTTAATTTTTGCTGTTGTTGTTTTGTTTTTTTGCTTTTCTTTGTATCTCTAGAGCTCAGCATAGTGCCTGGCACATAGTAGGTGCTTTTTTAAAAAAGCTACTTGGTTGACTGAATTATCCTTTCACTCCTGTGTAATGGTGCAGGGGACATCATAGTATATCTTTAAAACAAAGTTATTTCTTCATCAAGTAGGCAGAACTACACTGGCTCTGACACAATAATGGAAAGGTAGACCTCTGCAGAAAATCACACATGGTTCAAAAATATCATATACAAACAGAAAAGCATATTCATAAAATGGAAATGTGATTTGTCCCCAAAATTATCCTAAAAGGATTTCACAAAAAATCCTTTTAAAACGTTCATATATTTCATTTCTACTATGGTTTTTTAACCGTGGAACTTCAACACAGCATACAAAGCAATCTTGATCTATTAATTACATTAATATTTTATTTGAAAAACAAAGTACCTGGAGAACTGCTTGGCACAAAAATGTATTCCTGCTCTTTTTCAATCCGTATTTGATCATCTTCATATTCAGAACATGTTATTTCAAGTAAATCTGGAAAAATTACTTTTTCCGTGATTTTTTCATCATCCATATCCATAAAGTTTTGTAAATTACTTAATGCAGCATGTTTTTCATAACCATCATTTTTTAATCTCTGTTCAATGCCAAGAAGAAAATAAGTTCTATATGCTTTTGCCAAATGAAGTATAGTCAGGAAAAGCAGGTTTTCTGTTACTTCCAAGTTTAAATTCCTTTGCCTGACATTTGAGACCCTCCACAATGGGATGTCATGCTACTTATTTCGTATTATTCTATGTCACAAACTCTGGACTCCATCTACACTGTTCTATTCTCTGACTGTCTTTCAAATGTATTTGGTGCTCTTCTATTTCTATGCCTTTGATCATCCCCTTCCCTAAACACAAAATGTCTTTCCCCTTTCACCTGCTGAATTCCAACCTATCAAAGGTCAATGCAAATGAGATCTGGGATCATTAACTGGCTATTGAAAATGGAGAATTTTAGGGTAAACACAAAGAAAATCTTTCTAATGACTTGAGCTACCCAAAAGTAGAAATGGACAAGTCAGGAGGTAATGGGTCCCCCTCACATGTGGTATTTGAGCAAAATGCAGATGACTACTTTCTGGTGTAGAGGCCAGCTTAGCTACTTCTTTTTAAATTGTCCTTTTCCCTTTGCTTAAAGCAAGGTAGCATGTAAGTGTATGTTCTAATTCTCTTTTTTTCTAAAAATTGTATTCTCCCATAAATAGGAAAATGTTGTCCAGACAGTAAAGCCAGTCTAATCTAAGTGACTCTTAAGTGACCTTTAATTCATGCTAATGTCTTAGTAATTGTGTTTTATATTAGGATGTCTCAATTCAGATACTGTGGAAAAGCCCGGATCTAAAAGTTATCCCCTCTCCACATAATGTTTTTGTTATACACACTCATATACATATACATGTACATGTATAAGTATATATATGTCTATATATGCACACACATGATATACATATGTGATTATGTATAATGTGCATGTATATGCTGATATGTGTAATATAGACATATACATTGTGTAAATGTAATATATACATACACATACATTATATATGTGTATATCTCTGTGTGTGTATAACTTCTATCCTCTAAGCATTGGGAGTTTTTTTTAGAAAGAAGAGGCATCTCCCAGCTTGGCCAGCTCTTTCTTGGTTTTGCTTTGTTTTGAACAAATCTTGCCTGAAGAAAGTTGTTTTAGTCTACTATATCAGATTTGTTGTAGAGAAATGACCTCTGAGGTTCTTCCAACCCCAAGATTCTGTGAGGTGCATCTTAAGGAACAGAGAGTTCTGGACTCAAGTCTAAGTTTCATGGCATCCAAATCACCAAAGGAATCAAAGGGTGATAATTTAGAGCTGGAAAAGGACTTTAGAAGTCATGTGGTCCAACTTCCTCATTTTATAGATAAGGAAACTGACAACTAGAGAAGGAAAGTTCACACAAATAATAAATGGCAGAGACAAGATTTAACCCAGGCCCTCTGACTCTAAATCTAGCCAGCTTTCCACTAACCACTGATGAGTTTGTGTGGCAAATATATTTTCTAGGAATTTATTTATAAACATATAGTCTTCATCTCTATCATTAGTAATTTAAATTTATTTCGTCTCCTATCTGCACATTTTAAGCAATCTTTGTTAAGGTTATCTCTAAAGTTTCATTAGTAATATATTCCAAATAAATTTGTTACTATAGTATGCTTTGGTACCTTTATAGAAGCTATTTTTTATGCCTTTTTATGGAAAAGTTTCCCTCAACAATCTGTGTTTCAATTTCTTTAATATAAATTAAGAGGGAAGAAAAGATAATAGAGTGATTTTTCCTAGACAAGGTGCAGGGTAAGGGAGCTGTTGTGATGCAATAAGGACAACAACAGTAAGATTCATCCAGTCATTCATCAATTCATAAACCAATTGGCAAAAACTGGGTAAATGGCAAAGGTTAAAAAATATTTTGCTTTGCTCCACTCCCCAGAAAATCCCTCACTAACAGTTTCCCAAAGACAAATAAGAGGACAAAACTTAACAATAAAAATGGGCTCTCTCCCATCATATTTCTCAATTTCTCCTGAAATATTAAAGTAGATTTTCTTGTAAAAATAAAATACTTAACCTGGTCTTTAGTTTGGTTCAAACCTTGGAAATCTGAGCATTCTTCACCACCCATAATAAAAAATGTAAGACCTTCATCTGGTAAGACTTCTTGCTGTAGATGAAAGTAAAATAACCTGAATGCAATATTAAAGCAAATTCATTCACCAACATTTACTCAATAAATCTTTAAGTGCCTCTTCTGTGACTGGGCTGGGAAAGATATAAAGATGAGATAAGACGTGGTCTCTACTGTCATGAAGCTTACAGTCTAGTTAGGTGATCAGATACATAAGCAAATAGCTTTAGCAGAAAACAATATTTAAGTGTAAAAGAGAAGGGCAAAAATCCAAGATGGAAGAGGGGGAAGAGATAGGAAGGTTGTGTAAAGAAGGTGCCATCTGAACTGAAATTTAAAGGATGAGTAGGATTTTGAATAGGTGTGAGGACACTGAAGAGAGGACAGCTTTCTGAACACTGGAAACAAAGGCATGAAGGCTGAAAAGGAGTATGGAGGTCAAGAAAGCAGACACTCATTTGTGAAGTTTAGTAGGCACTGAGAACACAAAGATAAAAGTGCAAACCATCCCTGTCCTCAAGGAGGGGATTTCTATCAAAGGAGATTGAGGCATATACAAAACACACCTATCAGTCCATACAAAGCTCATATAAAATAGATATGAGGTAACTTTGAAGGGGGAAGTGCTAACAGCTGACAGAAACCAGGAAAGGAAGGCCTCACACAGAAAAAGGAACTTGAGCTGAGCCTTGAATAAAACCAGGTATTCCAAGAGGTGGAGATGAGGTGGGAGAACATTCCAGGAACTAGGGACACCGAGTGAAACAGCATGGAGATGGGAAAAGGAGAACTGTGTGTACAAAACAGCAAAAAGACTGGTATGGCTTGAATGTAGAGTGTATGGAGGAGGGTAATGTGTAAGAAGGATGGAAAGAGAGGATGCAGCTAGTTGTGAAGTGCTTAAAATGACAGCAGAATTTATATTTGACATTAGAGGTGACAGGGAACCACTAGTGACACAGTCTGACCTTTGCTTTAGAAAAATCATTTTGGGAGCTGAGAAGATGGATTGGAGTGGGGAAGAGACAAAGCTGGAAGACCTACCAGGAAGCTGTTGTAATAGCCTAGATGAGAGGTGATGAGGGTATGAGCTAGAGTGGTAATAATAACAGTGATAATAGCTAACATTTATATAGTGCTTACTATATGCCAGGTACTGTGCTAAGTGCTTTATAATTATTTGATTTGATCCTTATAATAACCCTGGAAGGTAGGTAATTATCTCCATTTTGCAGAAACTGAGGCAAACAGAGGTTAAGTAACTTGACACAGCTAGTAAGTGTCTAAGAACAGGTTTGAATTCAGTTCTTCTTGACTCCAGGCCTGGTGCTCTATTCACAGTGCTACCCACCTGGTAGCTGTGTAAATGAAAAGAAGAGAGCATATCTCAGAACTGTTGACAGAAATTATAAGATTTGGCATGAATTTTGCCAAATTTTGTCAAAATGCCAAAAACATTTTGCTTAAATAGGTGGGATAAATGAGAGTAAAGAGTTGAGGATGACTATAGGGCTATAAACCTTGCTAACTAGATACACTCTCCTCTTTAGGTTTTCATGACACTGGTTCTCCTGGTTCTCCTTCCACATGTCTGACCTCAAAAGACCTCTCTCATTTGCTGGATCTTCATTTAGGTTACACTCACCAACTACGGATGTCCTCCAAGGCTCTGTCCTGGGCCCTCCTCTCTTTCTTTTTTCTCTACATTCTATTATAATCTATTACCTGGTAATCTTTTTTTTTTTTTGGATGAGGCAATCAGGGGTTAAGTGACTTGCCCAGGGTCACAGAGCTAGTAGGTATTAAGTGTCAAGTGTCTGAGGTCGGATTTGAACTCAGGTCCTCCTGATTCCCAGGCTGGAGCTTTATCTACTGTGCCATCTAGCTGCCTCCATCACCTGGTAATCTTCTTAGTTCCCATGAGTTCAATTATCATCTCTATGAAGTTGATTCCTAAATGTATATATCCAGCCTTAATCCTCTCTCCTAAGTTCCAGTCTCACATCACCAACTGCTTCTTCTCATTTGGATGTTCAATAGACATCTCAAACACATGTTCAGAACAGAATTTATCTTTCCTCCCCAAACCCTTTCCTCTCCCGGCTTCTAATATTATTGTGGATGATACTACCATCCTTCCAGTCACTCAAGCTTGCAACTAAATGGTGCAATAGACAGAGTGCTGGGCCTGTAGTCAAGAAGACCTGAGTTTAAATCCAGCCTCAGACACTTAATAGCTATGTTTGCCTCAGTTTTCTCATCTGTAAAATGAAGATAACAGAACTTACCTCCCAGGGTTGTTGTGAGGATCAAATGAGATAATAATTATAAAGTGCCTGGCACACAGTAAGCACAAAATAAATGTTAGCTACCATATCATTATTATTACAACCTCATCCTTGCCTCCTTACTCACATTCACCCCACATTTCCGATTAGCTGCCAAGTCTAGTCATTTCTATCTTTGTAACCTCTCTCACAGACATCACCTTCTCTCCATTCACACAGCTGCTACCCCAGTGTAGTCCTTGCCACCTGGCACCTGGATAACTTCACTAACTTCTAATTGGTCTCCTATTTCAATTCTCTCCCTGCTACAATTCATTTTTCACTCAGCTGCCAGAGTATTTCCTAAAGTGCAGATCTGACCGTGTCACCCCCTACTCAATCTCCAGTGGTTCCCTACAACTTCCAGGATCAAAAATATGAGCCTCTATGTGAATGTCACATTTGAAGCCTTTCACAATCTGACACTTGCCTACACAGCTAGTCTTCCTGAACTTTCCTACTCTCTGTATTCTAGGATACATCACACTCATCTGACATGACATTCCTTCTTTCACCCCCATGCTTTTTCACTGGCTGTGAATACCTGGTGTGCTCTCTCTCCTCACCTCAAGCTCCTGACTTCTTTCAGAACTCACTTAAATCCCACATTCTGCAGAACGACTTTCCTAGTTCCTTCCCTCTGAGAGTATCTTCCACTTCATGGTATAGAGCTAATATGTAATTATAATGACGAAGCTTGGTTCTGGATAAGAATTGAAGAAATGCACCAGCCTCCCCTCTTTGCAGAAACCGAGTATTGTGGGTGCAGAGCAGTGCATGTACTGTCAGACACAACTGATGTACTGACTGGTTTTGTTCATCTGTTTTTTTTTCCTTTCTTAATCTTTGCTGCAAGGAATAGTACAGTGGACTGCTGCCTCAAGTCTCTTTCCATTCTAATCCATTCTCCACATAGCTTCCAAAGTGATTTTTCTTAAGCACAGGTCTTACCACGTCAGTCCCCTACTCAATAAACTCCAGAAACACCTATTGCCTCTGTTAGAAAATAGAAACTTCTCTCTGTGTTTTTTAAAGTCCTTCACAAGCTGGCCACAAGCTACACCTGCAGTTCTACATTCCTCTCCTTCCCATACTCTATGGTCTAGCCAAGCTTACTGTTCCTCATGTACAGCACGCATGCATCTCCAATGGCTGGTCCTTATGACTAGGATGCGTTCCCTATCTTACCTCTCACTTATAAAACACCTAGCTTTCTTCAAAACGGCTCAAGCATTACCTTCTACATGAAGATTTTTTTCTGATTCCTCCAAATACTAGTGCCCTCTGTCCATGAATGCCTACCTGGCATTTGTTGAATATATTCAATATGTGCTTATATGTGTATTTTTTTTGTCTCCACAAGAGTATAAGCTCTTTGAGAGCAGCGAGTATTTGCTTTTTTTTATTCTTGTATACTTGGTGCCTAGCACAGTGCCCTGTATTCTTTCTATCCTTCAATAAATCATGTGACTATAAATATTTGAGTTGTCATAGAATATCATTTGTAAATGCCTGCCTCATATGCTTAATGCATGTGTAAATTATTCTCATAAAATTCTCATAAAAATTTTGTAGAGATGAGACAACAGACATGAGGGTAAGTAGTTATTAATATTCACTGCCTCTTTTTCAAAATGTCTGAGTTCCTGGTATCCATCCCTCTTTCTGATACCTTTGAAATCAATCCCTCAATGCCCCCCAAATGGTGTCACCTCTGGCAGAGACCAGCTGCTTTCCACATCTTGGCTTTCTTTATTGACACTTCTCTAGGGACTATGACATTATGGTCCAAATATGGTGGCTCCATCATCACTGATTGTGAAAAATTTGTTATAAAAATCTTTACAAATACTTTCCTTCGTCCCTTTTCTTTGTCGTCCTTTTTCCAGTTTCTTCCTTAAATGCTATAGGGATGACTTTACTTAATTGAGTATCACAGTAAGGGTTCTTTGAGAGTGTTTTTTCCTCCACTGATTCTCACTGTTTTATGAGGCAATATTGCTAACAGGTGTCATAGACAAAGACTTCATCACCAAGTGGAATGAATTTCACTGTATTTAGCTAGACTGGTCCTCAGAAAATAGATGTAGTCTCCCATTAACACTGTATTCAAAGCCTTTCCAAAGAGATAAAACTTAATAGAGTTTGTGTTCTCCCTTTCTTTGTATACCTACCGCTTAGCACAGTGCCTGCTACATAGGAGGTGTTTACTAACTCAATGACTGTTGTCTCTCCAGGCATAGGCCTCAAAAAGCTTCAGAAAGTCAACTCCACATCATAACGAGGCATTGGAGAAAGACTTTGTGGAGATGGATGCCCATATTTTTGTTTAATTGGTGCAAGTCACGAGGAAGCTTTTTCCTGCATTCCTCTTGGCTTTCCTTGATGCCACACTGCTAAACTATCCCTTTCAGTCTTAGGCCATGCCTCCTACATCAGACATTGGAGACCACCAGCGCTGGGACAGAAAGCACCCAATCCCAGGGCGATGGAATGTTTATAGGTAAGAACAAGTTAGCCTAAGTTTTGTATTGGCTGACAGCCTCAGAAAGGGCTGATATAGAGGCCCTCACAAGGTGTAATTCTTCCATTTCTTCCTATCTGCTGACTTAATGAGATATGGCTACCAGGCAACTGTCCAGGTCGCCTATAATACAAAGAAGGCCTTTGACAAGATGCCAGGCCCACTCAGCCATTGTCAACTTAGGCCTGATTCCCATGAGCTACATCTTGTATTTTCTTCCTTTGGCTCTTCCAAGTAGTGGGGTATTTGTGGTCAGACTATAAACCAAATATATCTCCAAGTAAGACTGAAATCAATCTATTTACAATTTGAGGTAGGTCTCTGAGTATACTGTTTAATGAAAACTAAGAGGGTTTCTTCTACTTTCATGTACTGGTGACTTGTAATAGTCTTTAGTCTGTCCTCTTTTTGAAGGTCTCTGAGGATAAAGATTCTATAAACTTAAGGTTGTGATTATTATTATTATTTTTTGGCTAGGCAATGGGGTTAAGTGACTTGCCCAGGGTCACACAGCTAGTTAAGTGTTATGTGTCTGAGGCCGGATTTGACCTCAGGTCCTCCTGAATTCAGAGCTGGTGCTCTATTAAGGTTGTGATTATTAACAGATATTTTAGCCTCAAGCTTGGAAAGCACATGTGTCAAAGACGATGGTAACTCACAGGTCTTGGAAGTCCTTTATGAAGTTCTCAAGATGCTCTCCTTGGGCACAGAATAGCTTTTCTGTTGGGCTTTTTGTAGATCTCTGAATCTGTGTCCAGTCTGCCCGTGGCTCCTGATTGCAGGCACTACAATCAACTCTCCCAGAAAAGCTGCAAATGTGTCAGTGGAAAGATAGAAAGTCCAAATCCTCTGAACCCGTCAAAGCTTATTGGGTTGAGGCTGAGCTACTCTATTCCCCCTTCCATTCCACCTTCTCCCCACCCTCTCCCACCCCACACTCCTCACCAAAGAATTCCTTCTCAGGGATTTTGTTCTCTCTTCTCTCCCCAAACAGATATTCTAATCTCCAGGGTCTGAACTGGTCTTCTGTTTTACAGAAGACATAAGGATATGATCAAATCTTTCAGCCAGGCTTCTTGTCACTCCTAGGGAGAGTTCACACAGTGCAAACAGTGGAGATATGTTCTTATCTGGTTGAAGTATCAGAGTATAACATCTTATTAGTCACTTTAAGTCAGGTGGGATAATTGTCTAGGGTTATCCCCACCTTTACACATAGAAGATCAAGAAGTAGGAGGGAAGAAAACATGTTTAAATAAAATTTAGTAAGAGATCTAACTGAACAAAGTCATCCTGAGGGCATTTAAAATGAAACTGGAAGTAACACAACAAGCATCAAAATTAGGGAAGCTATATGAAGATTTTTTTAAACAAACTCTTTTTAATGACAAAAGATCCATCACATTTGGACTCAATATCCTAATCCCAGACATGCATGATATGAGAATGTAAATATGGCACTAAACAAAACAAAGATAGAAAGATTGCTAAACAAGACCAAGTACACGTACAGGGGGGTCAATGATGGAAAAGACAACATTCTGAAGGCACCCTAGGACTGGTTTTCAAAGTATCAGGAAGAGGTAAGGGACCTTATAATTACCCTACAAAAAGGAGATTGAAAGAATATCAATAACAGCAGATCTATATGTCTACTTTCCCATCTCTACAAAGTTTTTATGAGAGTAATTGACATATATACCAAGAGCATCCTTGACAAAGACTGATGAAGAGAACAGGCAAGTTTTTATACACTTCATCTTTACAGTCACAAAGCTGACTAAAAGACATAATAAAAGCAAGTTGCCATCAGGCATATTATTTGTTGACTACAAAAACACATTTGACTCAGTAGAGCAAAACACTACCTTGAAAGTTCCCCTCTAACAAGGAAGCTAGCTCACATGAATATGTCATAATTGTACAAGATTCTTTGAAAGATTTAACAGTAGCAGTTGTTTTATTCCATGATCCTCTGATTATTAATGTCAAATGAGGCATCAAACAAGGAAGCCTGTGATAGAGAACATCCAACCCAGAGACTAAATCAAAGAGGGATTCCTTGGAGAAGTTGAGGATCATCTAAAGAATATGAATAGATTACAGTATACTAGCAAAGAACCCTAGAGGACAAAAATGAAAAGGAAGTAGATCAATTATGTTGCAAAAACCCTGTTTATCCTCCAGGTCCTTAGTTCAGTGGATGACCTTCTTGTGAAAGCTTTAAGGGAGAACATGGACAAGAGTCACACAAGATGGGAAAGCATGGATAGGCTGCAGCCTGTAGCCTTGGCAGTAGTACCAATATCAACTCGATCATGAATCTCTTAAGTGTAACTTTAGTAGTTAAAAATCATTTGTTATTCTTTTCACATAAAAACATCAAAATGAGCATATTATTGTTAAGTAATATTTTGGAAACACAACAATTATTTAATTTCAAGCAAAAATCTGGTTTACTAAGGATCAAAGAATGACAGCTATTTCATATATCCACTATAGTATATTTTACGTTAACAACTTAGTTGTTTACATTTATAAAAAAAAATTTCACCTTAGTCACTTGTTGTATTTTAATATCAACAGGTTCCTTTGTTGAAGACTTTTCAACTTGAACAATCTAAAACATAACATAAATGATATTAAGACACAATCTCCATATAATAGGCTTAATTGTATTCAATAACCTTTCCAACTAAAAATGTAAAATGAAAGATTCTATATAGCATTTTAACACAGCTTAATATTCTCCCCCTAAGACATGTGCCTCTGTCCAAGTCACTTAAGTTCCCTGGGTTTTACTGTTTTCTCATCATAAATGCATTATGAAAGGAAAAGAAATCACACAGTACATGCGAAAGCGCTTCAATTTCTTTGGAATGAAGGTGATATATACATATGTATACATATGCGTGTAAATGTGTATATATGTACGTATATGTATTGTGAGGATCAAATGAGATGATAGCTATAAAGTGTTTAGCACATTGCTTGCATATTGAACTATTAGCACTATTGAAACATTAGCTATTATTGCTGGTCATTTCCACCTAGTTGTCATCTTAGCATCTCAAACTCAGCATGTTCATAATAGAATTCATTATTTCTCTCCCCTAAATCTGTCCCTTCCCTGAACTTATCTTTTTTCTGTTGAGGGTACCATTATCTGTCTTGTAACTCAGGTTTGTAATCTTGGAGTCATCCTGGCTCTGCCCTCTCCTCTATAGTCTCTGCCCACCTAATCCATATGGACACCATCCTAGTTCATGTCTTCATCACTTCTAGCCTCCACTACTGAAATTGCCTGCAAGTTGGTCTCCTGGTTTCCAGTTTCTTCTTCCTCTAATCCATACTCCATATAGTTGCTAAAATAACCTTCCTAAGGCACTATCTGACCATATCTCTGTCCTGCTTAAAAAGCTTGAGGGTCTTCCCACTGCTTCTAATAATTCCCTGAATGCAATATTCCCTTTTTTATATTCACAAAACTATCTCCCATTTCTAGAATTAATTCTTTCTTCATTTCTACCTAACAAAATTCCTACTTTCCTTCAAGGCTTATCTCTACTTCCATCTCCTCAATGAAACTTTCCCTTATTTCGCCAGTTGCTGTTACTCTCTATACCCTCAAATTGTCTTTGTACTTACTTATTTACCTACATAATATATTTCTTACCTCAAGAGAATGTAGGCTTCTTGAGGGCAAAGACTCTTATTTTTGTCTTTGTATCTCTAATGCTTAACACACTGCCTTACACAAATTGGACGCTTAAGGAATATTTATTGAATTGAATTTATATGTTCAAAGAACTGTGCTAAATATTAGGCTACAATAGAGAGGACACAGGCTTTCTTGAGGAATTTACAATATAATAGTGAAAGGGGAAACGCTGGGGAAGGGTCTGGAACTCACTAGTGCTAAAGGACCTGGAATCTCCAAAAAAACCAAACAAACCTGTTTTGTGTCTCATTTAAGAAGTTAAAATATAAAAATATATTACCTTTGCATTTTTCAGCTTTTCTCTTACTTTGCCTCGCAGGGCTTCAATTATATTTTGGTTTTCTCCTATTGCCAACTCTACCACAAAATTAATATAATCAATCAGCAATGGAAAATATTATTAACTATCTAACTGCATGTAACGCTGAATACAAGGATAGTTATACAGGCCTGGTCTTTGTCTTATGGACATGAAAATTAATATTCAAATGTATTCATTGCCTAGCTCAAATTTCATGACCTCCATGAAGCCTTCAGTCCACAATGATACTTATGTTTTAAAATTTCAAATGAAACCTTATAAGTTAGGTATGAGCTCACAGGCATATTTTTACTGGGCAAGTATGTAGGCAGTTTGTATTAAAGATTCTTTTATGAATGGTATTGGACTGAAATTCAAAAGGCAATTACCTATGGCTGCTTGACAGGTTGTTAAAAGATATCCAAGTTAAGACAGAATTTAAGTTCTGGTTAAGATAGCATTATAAAAGGGTATAGAAAAGTCCAGCTCTCCCACATAAACTCTAGGAAACACTAAAAATGGCCTCAGAAAGACCAATGATGTAGAAAACCAAAAGGAAGCATAAGTAAGCTCCTCTATCTGATCTATATCCACACCAAGGATAACCAGAAGCTGGCAGAAGTGGGTAGAAGGACTGACCTAAGAAAGACAGTCAGTTCAGGTAAAATTGAAAGGAGAAAAGGCAGGGAAAGAGTCACACTGAGGAAACCAATATGAACTCCAAAAGTTGCCTCCTCTAGCTTCTGACTCAGGAAAGGAAGGGACCTGGCTCAAACAGAAGAGGCCCTGAAAGCAGACAATAGTCCCAAGGGGGGTCATAACAAACTTATCCCAGTTCCAATAATCAGATGCTTGAAGATCCCAGTCATCAAAACAACAGGATACAAAACTACTCCTAAATAGGTCACGGTATAGGCAAAGAGAGCCCAGAAGTGCACTCTTCAGAGAAGACAGCATAACTCAGCACTTGGATATGTGTTGAGAGAGCTGTTTAGGCAGACTGGGAGTAATGTGATATCCAACCTCTCATTAGGGTTAGTTAAGGCTGCATTAGAGGATGGAACCAACTCCCACTTGAGTATTGTGCAAAGAAAAGGAAATAGAGACTGTCCGAGTCCTGAACCTTGAGAGGACCACCAGGGAACTGAGACACAAGCCAAGAACTGGGACAGAGGACAAGGTGTAATACCATCCACCCTCTCTAAATGGGTAGTAGCAAATACAGAGGCATTGTTATCCGTATCACAATGGGGACTGAACCAGACAAGTCTTATCAGATCTATCCAAGATTACCAGAAAGAACTTGTCTGAACACAAAATGCTAAATAGAGAAGTGAGGCTAGGGGCAGCTACGTGGCACAGTGGATAGAGCACTGGCCCTGGAGTCAGGGGGACTCGAGTTCAAATCTGGCCTCAGACACATAACACTTAATTAGCTGTGTGACCCTGGGCGAGTCACTTAACCCCACTGCCTAGCCAAAAAAAAAAAAAGAGAAGGCTAAAAATATGACTAAAAAATAGAGGTGGAACCAAAATATCAAAATAAAGCCAGCATTTTAATTGAGCTCTTTTAATACGCCCCCTCTACAACAACTTTAAAAATGAGCCAAACTGAATTCTGAGTGGGAAGTCCCACAAAAAGTTACAGTACGCATGTGGATACTGGGGTAGGGCTAACTGGGCACATAGCATGGCAGAAGATGGCACTTGCTGTGGGCTGTGGTAGAGGCATACCTGGGAGCAGCCTGGAGCGTAGGGACAGTAAGAAGACTGTACACTTAGTCAGAAAGAAACTCCAAGGGACCCGTGTACATCCTGGATGAAGGATTAGGTACCATTTGGCAGATCTATAGCCCATTAACGAGTTCTGGGTCAGAGTCCCAGGGCAGGGAGGAGCGGTCACAGTCACAAGGGAGTAGGGGTCCTGCTGGTTAAGGACAAGAGTGCAGACCAGGAGGGCAGTGAACAGACTTCTCCCTAAATCACACCACATTGGAAGCACTGAAAATTTATATTCCCCCAGTGAATTGTGAAAGCAGCAGAAGGATATAAAAGAACAGAAGGTCAGGACAGATAATCCCCTACCCCTGGAGGTGAACAGAGTCCAAATCTAACATAAAGTCCAAAGTCAAGAAATAGGCTGGAAAAAATGAGCAAACAACATAAAAAGAACCTGACCAGAAAAAGCTACTATGGTGATATGGAAGGTCAAGACATAAATTTATAAGAAGACAATGACTTGAAAATATCTATAAGCAAAGCTTCAAAGAAAAAAAATGCATATAGGACATACATCCAAAAACAATTCCTAGAAGAGCTAAAAAAGACAGATTTAGAAAAAAAACAGAAAAAAATTATTTTAAAAATTAAATAAGAGTGGTAGAGGAAAAACTGGGAAGAGAAATGAGCAATGCTAAAAAATTATGAAGAGAATTAATAGCTTGGTAAAAGTGGTAAAAAATAATAGAAAAGAATGTGAAATATCTCATTGGAAAAACAACTGACCTGGAAAATAGATCCAGGAGAGAGAACTTAAAAGTTATTGGACTATCTGAAAGCCCTGATCAAAAAAACAGCCTAGACATTATCTTTCAAGAAATTATCAAGGAAAACTGCCCTGATATTTTAGAACCAGAGGGCAAAATAGAAATTGAAAGAATCTACCGATCACCTCCTGAAAGAGATCCCCAAAGGAAAACTCCTAGGAATATTGTAGCCAAATTCCAGAATTCCCAGGTCAAGGAGAAAATGTTGCAAGCAGCCAGAAAGAAACAATTCAAGTATTGTGGAAACACAATCAGGATAACACAGGATTTAGCAGCTTCTACATTAAGGGACCAGAGGGCATGGAGTATGATATTCCAGAGGGCAAAGGAGATGGGACTACAACCAAGAGTCACCTACCCAGCAAAACTGAGTATAATTCTTCAGGGTTAAAAGTGGTTATTCAATGAAACAGGGGACTTTCAGGCATTCCTGAGGAAAAGACCAGAGCTGAATATAAAATTTGACTTTCAAATACAAGACTCAAGTGAAACATGGAAGAGGTAAACAGGAAAGAGAAATCAAAAGAGACTTACTTATTAAGGTTGAACTGTTTACATTCCTGCAGGGAAAGATGATATTTGTAATTCATGAGTCCTTTGTCAGTATTAGGGTAGTAGGAGGGAAAAAAATTATATGTATGTATACATAGATAGATAGAGGGCACAGGGTGAGTTGGAGATGAAGGGGGTTGATATCTGGAAAATAAAATTAAGGGGTGAGAGAGGATCATACTGGAAGAAGTAAAATGGGGTAAATTATCTCACATGAAACTGACAAGTGGAGAAGAGACGGGAGAAGGTGAGAGGGAATGAGTGAATCTTATTCTCATAGGATTTGGCGTAAGGAGGGAATAACATACACAATAGGGTATGGAAATCTATCTTACCCTACAGGAAAATAAGGGGGGAAGGGGACAAGAGGGTAGGGGGTTGACAGAGGGGAGGGCAGATTTGGGGAGGGGATAATCAAAGGCAAACACTTCTGAGGAGGGACAGGGTCAAAAGAGAGAATAGAATAAATGGGGGATAGGATAGGATGGAGGGAAATATAC